TAACATTAAGAAATTATTTGTTATCTGTAAGAGATTTCTGATAGGCCACCCTTGCTTAAATGTAATAGCTTAGTTTTAGGACCTGTCCCACCATGTTGTAAATTATCTGATGACAATCTAACGTATAAAATATATTATGGAAATATCGGATTTTGTTACCTTATCTGATATTGACGTCATTTTAAGCTATCTGAGCCTCTATCAGCCAGTGATGAGACAGGCCCTTGTTATATTATTTGTAATATTTGTGCTAATAGTATTAAATAAATAAATGATTTACTAAACTACCAAAAACAGAGTTTCTTAAAATTAAAAGCGACAAGAATCTTAAACTAGTGAGATAAAAATATCTTGCTTTGCTTTTAATTAGTTTTTCGGACCGAATGGTATTAAAAAATAGGTAGTCTATGTGTTTGTCAAGAGTATTCTCTACATCTATGCCATTTATAGAAATATGTTCAGACTTTTAGGCGGCAAACTCTAACAAACATCCATCCATTCATCTAACTTACACATTTATAATATTAGTACAAACTATGACCCCAGAATACTTGGGAAAAATTCTGAATAGCGTATATCTCTTCCAAAACAGTTATAGTTATGACAGAATTGTTAAAACAAGGCTTTACAAATTTGCTCTTGTCAGATTCAGCTAGTGTACAAAGGAAAAAATCATTTTTATTTCACAAAATGTTTCAATATATGGGGCTCTTTTATGTTTAAAATGGATAGTTAACTAACTTATAGATTTCATTTGTAATCAGATTATCGTTCTTGCATCTTATCGTCCATTGCGTCCAATATTTGAATCCTTCCTTCTGGAATATATCCATAGCACAGGCCGTATCGTCGCGTATGTCATCGTCTAAAAGCGCTGAAAAATACAATTGTACTTTGACTTGCCTATATCAAACTAGCTATTGCTCGCGAATTCGTAGGTTTTAAGATAAAAAAATATAACCTATGTTACTCAGTGATAACTTAGCTTTTTAATGGTGAAAGAATTTTTCAAATCGGCCAAGTAGTTTTTAAGTTATTTCAATACATACAAAAATATAAATCATTCCACTTTATAATATTAGTATAGATATATGTTAGATATATGTTCCTCGTATGTTTTAATTTGGGGGTTTATCTGCGTGATGATAATATTACTTGAAAATTAACTTAAGCCGTCTTTTGAACGACTAAGTAATTACTAGCTTAGGCTGTCTAAAAATTTATCCTGTAAAGGTTGAAATGAGGTGAACGTTTTGAACTTTTAAACTCCTTACGGACGAAGATGATAATGAATTAAGCGTTCGTTTCATTGCCATGTTAATTAGAAAACCATTATTTTTATAGTTGGTATAAAACAGTGTCAAAACTAACCTTCACAACTAATGTTGCATTCTCCACCCTTTTTCCCTTCCCTGCACCAACGACTTGGAATCTATAAAAATCATACTAGTATCATAAATGCGAATGTTTAGATGGATGTTTGTTAGAGTTTGTAGCTTAAGCGGCTGAACAGATCTCGATGAAATTCGGCACAGATGTAGAGGATAGTCTTTTGTTTTTTTTTTTAAAATTCCGAGTTGACGGAATCGCGGGCGCAATCTAGATGTATAATATTTTACCAACCTGATACAATCCATAGAACTTCCTTCCACTAGGTGTAACGACCATTGCTCTTGTATCCCTGTTACTCACTTTTTCTATCAAACAAACCCCTGAAATAAAAAAAAAATAAAACATCGTATTTTTTTGTACAACTAGACACTAAAACTCACAATGGTACCTCTAGCTCTCTTAGTTGTATGTGGTATTTATTTATCGTTTTCCTTTAATATGCGTAATGTTTGAGTGCACAAAATTTTACAAAAACAAAAAAAAAGTGAACATCCACATAGGAGACTGACATGATCTTACTAATATCCTATTTACCTTACTTCTAACTATTAATAATGCTTAGATGGATGGATGTTAGTTACTATATATCTGCAAAATGGATCAATGGAACTCGATGAAATATGCCACAAATATAGAACACTAGCTTACGCCTGCGACTCTGTCCACGTGTATTAAAAATAAAGTATGTAGCTTATGTGTTCTTCCAGACTATGCTGTACATCTGTATCAAATTTCATGCAAATCCTTTCAGCCGTTTTGGCTACGAACTCTAACAATCATCCATACTTAAATTATTTAAACTTTCGTGAGACATTTTATAATTAAT